ATCCAAGACAAATTTTTGAATGATTTTATTATGAATACAGCTGTTCTGCCAATGTGGCAGGAATACAACCCAAGATGTCTTAGAACAAAGGTCTTTTCGAGAAGACCCTAACTCTCCCAATCCCTTTTCCTCCTAAAACTTCAAAAACTAGAAAACTACAGCCTAAAGACATACTATATATAATAGTCTGTTTTACAAGGTTACAACTGTAAGAGGTTATAATTGCCTCCTTTATTTATTTTGCCTAGTATAGACTTTACCACTGAACCTATCAAATGGGTATGTAATAGTATATGTTGGTAACATTGTTCTTACAAGCAGTGACCACTATGACATTTCATAGACTAAACAACACCTTTGTCACCACTTTTAGACCAAAGATCTTGGTAAACTTAGATATTTCTTAGGGATCGAGGTAGCACAATCTAGCAATGGAATTGTTTTTATCAAAGGAAGTATGCATTTGATATTTTGGAGAAATTGGGTTAATGAGTTCAATGTTTGTTTATACACCCATAGATCTCAATGCCAAACTCTTATTTAGTTAGGGGAAGTCTCTCAAATCTTGAGAAATATAAAAGATTAGTTGGAATGTTTAATTATCTTATAGTTACTCTCCCTAACAGTTCTTTTGCAATTAGTGTAGTCAATATAAAAGATTAGTTGTAAAGTTTAATTATCTTATAGTTACTCTTCTTGACATTTCTTTTGCAATCAGTGCAGTCAGTCAATTTCTTAATTCTCCTTGTACATATTATTCGAATGCAGACATTATTAATGTACATTAAAGAATCTCCTAGAAAAGGTTTGCTAAATGCTAACAATAATCATTCTGAAGTTGTTTGTTATTCAGATGTTGATTGGATAAGATATTCTTCTAATAGAAGATGCACATCCAAATATTGTGTCTCCATTGGTGATAACTTGATCTCTTGGAAGTGCAAGAAAAAAAATGTTGTGGCAAGATCTAGTGCGTAAGCAGAATTAGAGCTATGACCTAGCCACTTATGAAATCTTTTGGCTTAAACAATCACTTAAAAAGTTGTGATTTAGAGATGTCACTCAAATGAACCTTATATGCGACAATCAGATTGCTCTTCATTTTAGTTCTAATCTCATCTTTCATGAAAGTAGCAAACACATTAAAATTACTCGTCATTTTATTTAAGCAAGGATTATATCTGGAGACATCAAGACTAAGTTTGTTAACTCAAATGATCAATTAGCAAATATTTTTGTTTAGGCTTTATGGGGACCTAGAATTGATTATATTTGTAACAAGTTTGGTACATGCGATTTATATGCACTAGTTTGAGGGGTAGTGTTAGATATTGATTAGATATAATTGGATATTGTTAGTTACAATATAATTTGTATGTGTGCTTAGTTCATATATAAATACATTATCCTATGTGTATATTCTACATTAGGGAATTACTCCTATACCTAGTTTTTTACTATTTCATAGTTAGTTTGAATGTTGTTAATGTCCCTAGCATTGTGGGTGAAGCTTGGACAAAGAAAGAATGAAGATGGATTCATTGAAAAACAATAGTACTCATGAAGTTGTTGACAAACCCAAAGAAAAGTGTATTGTTGACTGAAAATGGATATTCACATTAAAATACAAGTCTGATTGGTTTATACAAAGGTACAAAAACAAGGTTGATTGCCAAGGGATATCTTGAAGCGTATGGAATAGACTACCAGGATGCCTTTGCACCATTTGCTAAAATGAATATTGTTGCCCACTTTGATTGGAAACTTCTACATATTTTTGTTAAAAATACCTTTCTCCATGGAGACCTATAGGAAGAAATCTACATAAATTTCCACCAGGGTTTGAAAGAGAGAGAAAAAATAAAGTGTGCACATTGTGGAAGGCTCTTTATGGACTGAAACATTCCCCTAGATCTTGGTTTGTAAGATTCACAAAAGGCCTCAGCTATTTGTGAGCTTGTTTGGCTTAAGCAATTGCCTAGAGAGTTACAATTTGGAGATGTCACTCAAATGACACTTATATGTAACAATTAGGCTATTTTTCATATTAGTTCTAATCTTGTCATTCATGAGAGGACTGAACACATTGAGATTGATTGTCATTTCATTTGTTAGAAGATTGTATCTAGAGACATCAAGATTGAGTTCGTTAACTTAAGTAATTAGTTAGCAAATATTTTCACTAAATCTTTACGGAGATCGAGAATTGATTATATTTCTAACAAACTTGGTACATATGATTTGTATGCACTATCTTGAGGGTGAGTGTTAGATATATTAGATTATTAGATATCTTAGATAGATATCTTATCTTTATCTTTTATCTTCAGTTATTTTATTATTATTCTTTATTTTTATGTTGGGCTTGACCCATTTTTCCTCTATAAATACAGTACCTGTGTGTATTTTCTATACAAAGGAGATTAATCCCATACATAGTTTCTCACTATATTCAATACTTTTTAAGTACATGCATGACTACTAAGCAACCACATTTACACATGTTTGATGAGCGGATACACATTGAAGAATTCCCAAGGTTATGAATTACATTAGTCTTGTATTATACTAACATTAGGTCGTCTTGTTTTATAATAGGCTGCTTTCATGGTTCCAACTGAGTTGCTTGCAATCCAGCATTACGATCGTTTGCTTAAATTGCTTGAAAAGTTGGATGATGGCATGAGCAACCCAACTGTTGCTTTACTCACAGGTTCAACCTCACTAAAACAATCCCGGATGATTCGTAAGGTATGCTTTACTAAAAAGTATGTGATGTCCAATTGATGTGAACTCAATTTTTCTTTTCTTGAACCTGTGTGAGGTATGCTTTAGTAAAAAGTATGTAATGCCCAAATGATGTGAATCCGATTATTCTTCTCTTGAACCTGAGTGGCATTCTTTTAATTTTATCTGTCATGTGAAGGGTATCCAGACTGGAGAAATCTCGATGGTCATAGGAACCCACAGTTTGATAGCAGAAAGTGTAGAATTCTTAGCCTTACGTATTGCTGTGGTGGATGAACAGCATCGCTTTGGTGTGATTCAAAGGGGAAGATTTAACAGTAAGGTGGTTCAAAGCTTTTTCTTCACGTTTTATATATGGTTTCGTTATGCTTGCACAAGTGCCCATACTGTGAATGTCACTAAATGTCATCTTTTGCATCCATTTTGACATTGAGCTGTCAAAATCATAACAGAATGAAGTAATTTAATTGATAGAAAGGATTGCAGTGCAGTGTAGAACTTGATGTTTCATCAATCGAAGCAATAACAATAGGTCACACTCCATTCTGCATATCTAATATGGAGATTCCCTTACATCAATTATATATTGGTGTGGCTTTTTTTTGTTGCATAATCAAATGAAATATTAGTAGCTTCCTTTCCAATGTTGCTTATATTTTGGTTATTTATGTATGTATATTTCGTGATATAGAATGTTGGTTTTACCATTAGCAATTAACTAGAAGGATTTGCATAGTGTAGTAAAAATATAGATTTTAGATTAATCCAAATGACAAAAAGACTTATGATGTTTGAGTATTTTGAATAAGGTATTTGTTTTTTGAAATATAAGTAGTTATAGTTCATTAACTAAATTATGTAGTCCATTAAACAAGATATTTACTTAAATTTTAGTTCTATGGTATAATTTTAAAAAGCTGATTGATCATCAAGTGAGTCTTCATAAGAGTTTTACAGTTGCATAGATTAGATAAGTATATCTAACCGTATACATTCATGTTATGTTTTTGTGGAAATTATGTGTGTTCCTTGCTGCTGCACAAAATGCAAATTGCAACTTGCATATTGCTTATATCTTTCATTCCTGAAGTAATGTCTTAGAGTTGCTCTTTTCCCTCTTTTATCTAAAATTTTTAGTAACGTTATCATTGTGGTCTCTTAACTTTTCTCTTCTAGTTATACTATGCATCTTCAAATTCAAACATGGAAGAGGCCGTCACAGATGATTCCTCAAAGATTGATGCTTATATGGCTCCACATGTTCTTGCAATATCTGCTACTCCTATCCCAAGAACACTTGCACTTGCTTTATATGGTGACATGTCATTGACACAGGTGCTTAATTTTTCATGTCCATAATTTTGATGCTAGAGATCTTTTGCCTCCCTCTAGATGTGTTCTTTTTCCCTCAATGTGTTTTGAATTTGTGTGAACACGTGAAGTGATTTCTACTTTGTTTGGAAGAACAATTATCAATTATCTAATTCATATGTAAAGGATGACACAACTATGGTCTGTATGCAAAACTCCATCATTCTAAATTTGAGAATGATATGATATTGTCCTTCCAACTTTTCTGGCTTTTCATGTATTTCATTTCTGATTCTAGTATAAAATTTTTTTGGAAAAAAGAGAACCCTGATATTATATGTTTTTGTTTATACCAATTTTCACACTTTAACGTTTAAAACCATTTTTCTATTGCAAATGCTTTCTTTCAACACAGATAACTGACTTACCTCCCGGAAGAATTCCTGTTCAAACGTTTACCATTGAAGGAAATGACAAAGGATTTGAGGATGTCTACAAGGTGACCATCCTACTGAAACTGTACTGTGTCTTTATTATTCTTTTTTCTGTTGTCTCTTCCTTGCCTTTTATTCCTTTGTCTTAAAATTAATTGATAATTTTACAATGTATTTGATAAAATCTTGATAATGGCTATATTTAGGTTTGTGTTTCAAGACCACGCATATGGTGCTTTATTTCTAATCTGTAGTGGTACAATTAAGGAAACAAACAATGGATGTGTATAAAAATATTGTCTTATTGGATTAATTCATATAACAGAAGGTACATGTTGTATTTGTGCAGATCAAATCTGCTATAAATTAGGAAAATAAATAACACATTAACTGGAAACCAATCTGTTATAAATAAGGAGGAGAAAAAGGAAACAAAACAAAGATCTTTCTAAAAATGAATCTGATTTGATGTGATCAGTCAAGGAGAATGTGGCTGATGTAACTAATAGAAAGGAGAATAACGAGAGGATATGGAAAGTCTACTATCGAAAGAAATGTAGAAATTAATTTAGCTGTTGGTTAGCTGTTTGAAAGCTCTTGGGGGTTGGAGGATAAGGCTTTCTAAAGGAAAACCTATTTATTTTGTTTTGTAGATGGTATATGAGATTAGGAAGGAAAATAGTCTTGTAACAAGGTACACCTTGTGACAGAGATGATAATCTCCTTTGTGTGCATGTGTGTGAAAGATTACTGAGAAATAATACAGTTAATGAAAACTGCTTCTACCTTTCCTCTTTTTGTTTTACACATTCATTTGAAGGTTTCTATCAACTTTGGTATGACCTACCGGATCCAAAGGAGGTAGAACAGAATCATGGAAAACAGATTGAGTGTTTTGGAAATCGTTAATAGTTGTACTACATCTATAAATGCACATTGTACCTATGATTCTAAGTGAGTTACAATAAAAAAACATTCAGTTCATTTTCAATTCTCTCTCTTTTTTCTCGATTCAGTTTCTCTAAGATGATATCTAGAGATTTTTCTTCATTGATCTAGATTCTTCAACTTTGTTATACTTGAAAAGAGAATGAATTTTATTATCATTCATGTCTATTGCATTCTCCTTACACCTATTTGTAACAATTTAATCTTCCAAAAAAGGGAAATAAGGAAACAATGTACTAAAAAATAAACTAGAAGATTCAACAGATATTTTCTCTAATTAGGTAGATTCCACAAATATTTTCTCTAATTAGGAAGATTTTCCTCTAATTACAACACTCCCTCTCCAGTTGGTAAATGAATATCAATCATTCCCAACTTGCCTACAAGATCTTGAAATCTACCTTAGGGTAGCCCTTTTGTCAAATTATCTGCTATCTAAAGTTCTATAGGAACATGAGTTGTAATCATAAAGCCTCTGTCTAGATTATCTTTGATGAAATGTCTGTCAATTTCAATGTGTTTGGTTCTGTCATGTATTGCATTATGGGCAGTAATAGAACCTGCATAATTAGCAACAATATATATTTTCATTGTCAATGTGTCTTCCCTTTTGAATAGTAGCCCCTTTCCTGGACTTGACTTCAAATACTGAGAATTTTGTCAACTGCTTGCATGTGTCTCTCTCTTGGATCATGCATAAATTGACTCACTACACTAACTACATAAGCAATGTCTGGTCTTGTGTGTGATAGATAAATCAATTT